ACTTCAAGACGCTTGCCTACTTTCGGAGACTGCAGGACATCTTGGAGTTCGTTGGCGAGATGCTTGGCCTCGGGCTGCCCGGGGTGACGCAGGTGCGGCAATCTCGGCGACTCTACTGTAGCATTTCGGAACGCTTTCGAGGCCATCGCGGATGCCATCGTCGCCGAGCTGCTGCTGCCGCAGCTCTTCGTCCTTGCACTCCCGGCTAAAAGCGGTGATGTGTCAGGGGTTAGCCGTGGGCAGGGATGTGGACGGGGCGAGCCAGGCTGCCTGGCACCAACCTAAACTGGTCCAGCCTTGGCCAGCCCGACGCTCAAGCCCGTGCGTTCACGGCGCGGGTAAGCGACGATTGCCTCGGCCAGATCTTCGACTGTTTCCCGGACGAGATGAAGCGGCAGCCTCGGTGGGGAAGGACGAGACGTGAAGTCACCTGCTTCGAGTTTGGCACAGGCCGCCGGCGATCGTCCCCCGGCCATCGGAATTCTCCATGTATCAGGACAGGGGACCTCCCGATAAATGCGAATTCCTTCACATGTCAGGACGTACATTCTAGGGGCTGCGCCGGGGCTGGGCGTGCACTGGGCTTGCGTTAGATAACTCAAATGACTCAAATACTTCACATACTTGACAAGGGCCGGGAAGGTACTGGGTGGTGGGCGCTGAGGGGTCTGCGGGGGCGAAGAGGGGTTGGGCATGCATTGGTCTTGCATTAGATTACTCAAATGATTCAAAAACTTCACAGAGGTGGGCGCTGGGGGGTCTGGGGGTTAAAGAGAGATCGGGCGTGCAGTGGGCTTGCATTAGATTACTCAAATTACTCAAGGAGAGGGTGGAAGGGGCTGAGAGGTCCCGGTCTTGAGGGGCCTTGTGGAGTGTGGAGGGTTAGGCCCGGGCGAATCTGTAAGGCAGAGAGGGGTTCAGCTTGTGCGAACTGAAGCAGGCCAAAAAAAGGCAGGCCAGGCACGGCGTGCCGGTGGGCGGTGTGGGAGAGCAGTCGGGTGGGGGGATTGGAATGACGCCGAACGCGCGGCGGGTGTTGTGGTGTCTCAGGGGTTTCGGCGTGCTTTGGGCACTGCGGGTGCTTGGGGCGCTGGGGGGCCTGTCGAGGGGTTCGGCCTGCCGTGGGTTCGACTATGAGGAGGTGCATCGAGCGCTGAGGCGAATGGCTCCAGTCGGGCCTGTCGTTAGATAAACCGGAGCGGTGAAACACGACTTCTGGGCGCCGGGGGTCGGCGGATGTAGGCCCTTTCGATACATTTCGAGACATGGCTCCTGAGAACCGCGAGCTCCACGCTTTTGGCCACTCCATTCATAATCATTCATCGAGGCTCTGCAGGTGGCTTTCGGGGCAGCTTCGATTCGCGGATTCATGCGGGTTCCAGTGCGGTCGACTCTAAGTGCGACTGTTCTAAAAAGAGGACATGCTGCGGGCCATGTCTCCGAGCCCAGTGGCATCTCCAGCTGCAGCTCAGGTCAGGGTGCCGTGCGCAACTGCCCTGCGCAGACCTTTCTAGGCGAAGACTGCGCATTTTGAAAGGATGAAGCCGAACCCCCTGACGAGCTCGACGCCGTGCTGGCTGTCCGCAGCGATCTTGGCCTTAGCGGGGGGGAGGGTGGCACGAGCTTCTCACAGAACTTTGCAGCCTCGAGGCTCGATCGCTGCCTTCCTGCAGCAGATGCGCAGGGAGCAGATGACAGGTGACGTGCCGGTAACAACACATCCAAACTCAGAGCGGCAGTACATGCGCGAGACTGGGACACAGTGCCAGGTATTATGGTGCCGATGATCCAGCTGCTGCTGTGGCCGGTCCGCGTCCAAGCTGAGCGTCCAAGTGATGTGCGAAGTGGATGCCGCATCCAGCCCGCTTGAGGTCGTTCCTGCATACTTTGCAGAGAGAAACGTTTCCGGCCCAGCGGTGAACCGTTTCCACCGGTGGACTTGGCATGCATCTACATCAGGCGATGAGGACTTTCGGCTGGACGGAGGCTTGAGCATGCAGGGCGTACTTGGTCGGGCAAGGAATCCGCAGTATTGAAAGTTCTGCGATGTTTTTTGCCGATAGGCCGCATAGGACTGTAGCTCCGCAGGTGCGGCAGGGCTTCGTAGCGCTCAGCGCAGGCAATGGCCTCGAGGACAGAAGTGCTGCCAATGTTTGTCATTTGACGAACGTCGCACCACGTTCCAGTTGGCCCCTCTGTCGTGCCCTGATCCACCCCACGAAGACCCCAATTTCAGGGAAGTGGAGGGGCGCATTCGCTTGGCACTTGTAGCCAACTTGTAGCTGAGTTCTATCGTATTCGTGTGTTTGCAGCCAGCAGTGCCACTGCCGCATAAAGAGGACGAGTGAAGCTGAGAGGAAGGGCCGGAACCGGAATCAGGGTCAGAAGCATTCGCCTTTGATTTCCCGTTACAGGGATGGCATGCCCTTTATGCTCCTAACTGCATTGTACGGCGGTGTCTGCAAACCAGCGGAGTGACATACACTGTCCCTTTCAACTGTAATGTCGGCCGATGCATCCTTGCCAGTCAGGGATGGCCGAGCCATGCCGAGCCTATGCCAAAGCCTGGAAACCAGAAACGAAATGCACAAGTGTCCTAATGATCAGCCTAATGATCTCGGACCTCATGGATGTGCAAAGCAACAGAGCTTGGCGCAGAGTGCGGCATGCTTCCGTTACGTGAAGCTCAAAGAGCGGCAACCCTGAACCCAAACAGCAGAAAGAAATGGACAAGAGATGGGTGGGCAGGCAGCACGGCAGAAACACGAGCCAAGAAATGTTCAGGCCGCATCTGGTCAGAAGTGGTTGGAAGTTGAGCGTGTCCCATGGATTGCAAGAGTTTTCAGAACTGAAGACATCCTCTGCTGCGCTTTTCCTCGCGTCGAATCTCTTCTTCGCAGCACATAAAGCCGTGCTCCTGGCAGGATGTGGCGCTGGCAGTATCGGAGGCACCGGTCCGGTCCAAGAGTTATACGTTATGTACTAGACTACATATACATGTAACACGTGAAGACGCAAACGTATATGCCTAGAGAAAAATGATTCGCGTGTGGCCAAGAAGTTTCGGAACTCTAAGACTCAGGAGAGGAACCTCGTGCCTAGCCACGTTGTGTACCTAAGGGAAGCAAGAGGCAATTTTTGCCTCCAAGTCTCCTGTACAAGTTGCACTGCAGGCGTCGAGCGCCGAAAGGCGCACCAGGGGGGTGGTCGATGTAGGTCAATGCCACTGCTGAAGCTCTTCGTAGTATGTCGGGCTTGTGAGAGGCGGTAGCATCTCTGCAGGCAGCATTGCTGGCGGCTCGCACTGCAGCGGTCGACAGGCTTGCATCTGCCAGGCGCAGCCTTGCAGGCCCAGCATGGGAAAGCACAGGGAGATCTCGAGTTGCAGTCAGTATAAGGGAGACTAGGGCCCTCTCAAGGAGGAGATGTAGGACTCTTTGTGGGATCGCATTGGCCCCTATCGCAGTAGGGTCCTGATAAACCATGCACTCTTGAGTATAGATTGACAGCAGTACCGCCGCATCGGTTTTCGCTGGGCATGTGCCGCGTTGCTTGTGCGAGGCGCCAAACCCCTTCAGAAGTCGCCTGTCCGCGCGGGTCCCACCAGGCCTGAAAGCACTGAGACCTCGCCAGACGTTCGGCAGCCAAGGAGATGCTGGACACTGCAGGCATGGCGATGGGTGCCCGGGCCGCATCGAGGTGTTGCCGCACCATGGCTTTGCGGTCACCGTGCCTTGCGCATCCGGCTCGCTCAGGAGACGACGCGCCCAGCTTCAACGGAACCGAGAGGAGGCAAGTCGGAATTCGTGCTCTTGGCCTTTTCTGTTTAAGACCGGCCGATATTCAAAAACCACGGCAGCCTCGAGTGCTTGCCCGACGCGGCTTCTTGGCTGATGCGCGAATGCCGCGCACGGCTCTGAGCTCTTAAGGGTCGAGCTGGCATGTTGGCGAGCGATTGTCCGGGCACCGTCCGAGGCATCTCTCTATCCCCAAGTGTTGGAGCACGCCGGCCTGCTGCCGCCGCAAGAGGCACGCAGTGTGAAGTCTCCAGCTTCTTCCCCCGACAGAGAAGTGACATCATTGGCGCAGCATCGCTGACGTTTGCACCTGATGCGAAGGCGGCACCAGATGCGCTTGTCGACGAGGCTCTCCCGTCGTCGTATTCATGCACCATGTTGCCAGCTACTGCTTCCATCTCGAAAGGGTCACATCCGATCGAAGTGCACGCGTGACTAGTTGCCATGTGCCTACTACAGTAGGCTCTGAAAGCGAGGCACACGCACACGCTCTGTCGCACACTTCTGCACTCACCTCATATTCAACATGGGGGTCGCTCGGAGACTGGCATCGTCCACGCTCCTGATTCGATGCGCTGCATCGCACCCACTCACTCTCACTATCGCATTATTCGCTATGCCTCGCTCTCTGACTCACTGATTCACTGACTCACTCGCGCCGATTCGCTCGCTTGCGCTACACCCTCGCCGGTCCTCACCTCTCTGATTTGGCCGATTGCTGATGTGAAGTTCAGAGGTGTCGGAGTAAACGGGAATCCCTGTTTGTGAGCATCCTAAATTTCCGCGCTGGAGGTGCCGAGCCCGCGGCCGAGCCCTCTGCCGCTTGCAAACGAAGGCCAGCCAAGATGAGAGCAGGCTTTCGATTCGAAGCAAGGAAAGCATCCCATCTCAATAAGCTTGAACACTTTTTCGCTTGTCCCCCGCCGCACTTGCACGTGGCGTTGTTTGCAGCACACAGGGCCGGAAGCTCGCAGGAGCGGTTGCTGGGTTGCTCCCCCCCTCTACCTCTGCGTGGGTCGATAAACGTGACCTTCCGGACTTCCCCAGGTGGCGGCGGCAGCTTCAGCTACCTCATGGAAGCAGTCGGCTCCTTTTTCCGCCACGCCAGCTGCGTGTGAATGAAGCGCTGATGGCAAAAATCCGGGGTCAGAGATTCGGTTGAGCCATGTAAGCTTGGATATCACAAGCCGTGCAGCTGTGGGAATGCACGTCTTTGTTCATGTTGACTGTAAGACACATAATGACAAGCCGGTCGAATCGAATAACTCGAGCCGAAAGTCAATGTCTATTGAGCCAGTAAGGAACCAACAATGATATACACAATTTGAGTACGCATTTCTTACATCTGTATGTATGTATATGTATGTTTGTGAGTTATATCTACGCACATACTTGGTGCTTGAATCATGTGGGATCGTCGTCGTGCCCCTGCAAGCCTTTTGAATCTCTACTATTCTTGGTCATATGCAAAGTACACTAAAGTACCAGTATGTTCTTCTATGCCAGTATCAAGTGTCGTTTCACTGTAACATTTACCAATGATACTCTTGAAATTACCAGTGTCCTGATTACTGCGGTTATACTCACCTTGCTGGTTGCTTCAGGAATCCCAAACCTGATAACCCTCTGTACCTCCCCTTGTCTTAAGTTTCCAAGGCACATTGCCCCCGTGATTCATGCAGTCAGGTTAGGCTGCTCTTCACATTACTTCTCCCATCAAGAACTCGCACATGGCTTCATTGTGGTTTTAGCTGACGGGGGTAGGAGGGGCAGCGTGCTTGCTGGC